TATTTTATATTATTATTATTATTACTATTATTATTATTATTATTATTATTATTAGTAGTAGTAGTAGTAGTAGTAGTAGTAGTAGTATTTTAATTAACTTTTTTTTTTAAGATTTTTTTTAAAGATGTCTTTATTTGTATTTTTTTTATTTGTTTTTATTATTTATATTATTATTATTATTATTATATATATAGTATTAGTAGTAGTATAGTAGTAGTAGTAGTAGTAGAAGTAGTAGTAGTAGTAGTAGTAGTAGTAGTAGTAGTATTTTTAATTATTTTTTTGTCTTTGTTTTTTTGTCTTTTTTAAAAAAATAATTTTTATGTTTTTAGTATTTTATATTAGTATTATATTAGTATTTTTTTATTCACTTTTTTTTAAGATTTTATTTTTTTTATTATTATTTTATGTATGCATTTTTTAAATATTATTTATTTGATTATTTTTCTTGAATTTCCCTCTGTATCAATAAAGTATCTCTTTCTCTTATAATGTTAAATAATGTTATAAGTATTTGAGCTTATCATGATCGAACTATGAATATAAAATACAAGTTCTGCAGTTTTTAACAAGAACTCAAATCCAAATTTCTATTAATACGCCATTTTAGATCAATATTGTGGTTTACAACGGCCAAAAAATAAATAAGAAAGTCAAATCAAATGTACATTTAACTGATGAAAATTGATTTCCTTCACAAACTGTCCAAATATGAGAAAATGTACATGGACCAAGTCTTGAGGATAAGTATCAACAGAGTCCAGGGAAGCGAGGGATGAGAGGAGAGGCTTGGATGGAGGAGTAAACCCAATGATGGTGGAAAGAGAGAGCGTGTGAGAGGAGATAGGGAAGAAGTCCGGACAAAAACAAGATTACAAGATTACAAAAACGATGCCCGGTGGTAACTCCGGTGGGATTTTTCCTTCAGTATCAAGTTACTTCCAGTCATTAGTAGGGAACGAGGGAATAGAAGGGAGAAAAACACCAAGAAATGATAAGTATTGAGGTATTTAAGTAGAAACTGAGCTCTGAGAAGCGAAGGATGAGGGGAAAGAGTTGGATAGAGCCCAGAAGTAAACCCAGTGATGGCGGAGGACGGGAGAGAAACAGAGATGTAGGGGAGGAGATAGGGAAGAAGTCCTGACAACATTTGAGGATTACAAAAACACTGCTCAATCCCTCAGTGGTCCAGGTAGAATCCATGGCAAAAGGAAAAATTCAATTTGTCAAATGGGCAAAAGTTTATTTTGGTTGAAAACGTTTCTCAGCACATCCAAGTTGCTTCTTCAGGTGGACACTTCCTTATATCTGCCTTAAAGTGAGGAGCTAACGACACTGAAACTACTCTGAAACTCAGGGCCTGCAGTGAGCGCTACACTGGAGAAACAAAACAGCCACGTCACAAGAGGATGTACCAACACAGACGAGAGAGCAACACAGGACCTCAGTCTGCTGTTCATCTCCACCTAAAAGCCTCAGACCACTCCTTTGAGGACAGTGAGGTGCAGATCTTAGCCAGAGAAAAGAATTGGTTTGAGAGGCGAGTTAAAGAAGCTATTTTTGTTAAGAAAGAGAATCCTTCAACAGAAATGGAGGCCTCAGACACCATCTATCTCCTATTTACAACTCCTTCCTCAAACCTAAATCAAAACAAACAAACAAACAACAATAGGAATAACCAGGTCAGGCTCAGAGGTGTGAAAGCTCCATTATGGCCCTGAATGAGTGTGTATACATGTACATCAGTATCCCGGTTATGATCAGGTTTTTTTTGAGTGTCCTGGTTTCTTCGTGGTGCATGTATACGCAGTTTCCCCATTTCAGTATCCCGGATATGGCGCATGCGTCCAAAAGACAAACACTTTCCAGTCTTTTCACCACAACAGTAGAGACATAAATAAAGTGACCAACATAAATAAAGTGACTATACATGGGTGAAATGACTGTAGAATAAAAAGATAAGCTAAATCTACACCTGTACAATCTGCACTCGTATGACCTGCACGCGTGTGATCGCTGAAAAGCTAAAACATGAACTGTCTCCTATACGAGATACAATACACTTAACGTCATTAGCACCATTTCTGTCACAAAATGAACACACATAATCCACAGAGTCGTGTCCTTTAGTCCAAAAGACGCTGGTCGCATCAGCGGCACAAGGATCGAGCTGTTTTTATCACCGCTAACAGTTTATGCTAATTAGCCATTCGGTCTTAAGTTAAGTTGTTTCTGTAAAATGTAAACAAATGTGATCAAAGCTGAATTATCTGATCAAACGGGCTGATGTGGATCTATAGTGGTTATGGTTTATATGTTGTAAAGTTGAGTTTATTTATGCAGAAGATTTTAATGAAGAATCTGTTGGTTTGATCTGTGCAGTGGATTGTGGGAGATCTCGTAGCTCCTTAACGCTGGTTAAATCTCCTAAACTTCCTCTGCTAAAGGAGCTCATGATTTGTATTTTTCCTGGTTTATTAAATTGATTTAAGTAAATTTTTGCACTTGCACATTTGTAAGATTATGTCAAGAAACCGGGATACTCCATTTGATCATGTATACGGAGATATGAGTGCCCTGGTTTCTCAGTGCGCATGTAAACGCAGTAACCTGAATCCTGACATAAACGGGATATGCCTAATAACTGGGATACTGATGTGCATGTGTACGCACTCAATGATTCTGCTAATAAGACCTCACACTCAGTGCATGTTCAATAGGCCTAGCTAACTTAGGGCCTGTCCACACAACAACGTTTTTTGGTCGAACCTCTAAAGATTGTATTGATTTTTACCTTTCGTCCACACAAAATTGGCATTTTGGGTGGACGAAAACAGTGTTTTTTGAGAAAGGATTCCAGAGTGGAGAAATCTGAGAACGCCGGTGTTGCGTTGCATTAGACGAGTAAACCACAGCTTTTGGAAAACGATTACGTCGCGACCCCGTCATCACCAGGGTCCTCCGCTGCAGGGAAGTCTGCAGCCCTCGAACTAGCCTCAGAGACCTTTGCCGAAATGGGACAGGTGTAGCCTACGGAGCCACATGTATCACACAGATTATGCACACAAATCATTAACAAAGATTACACACGAGTAATTAAACTGTTGGATTTTGAGACCAAATTATTCTAAAAATTCTCACCCAAATCTTATGGCTAAAAACGTAAGAAAGGAAAGAAGTGTCCACCACCATCTGACCAGAACTGAAGAAGCAACTTGGATGAGCTGAGAAATGTATTCGACCAAATAAACTTTTATCCCATTGACAAATTCAGTTTCTTCTTTTGCCACTGCACAATACTGGTGACTCAGATATGGAAATTAAGTCCATGTTTCTTTACAAACTGTTCAAATATCATGTTACTTCGAATCACTAATGTGAGACGAGAGACTTTTGTTAGGAGAGAAGTAAACAATGCACATCAGCCAACTTTTTTCAAGTTTTTTTCATTTTCATTTCAGTGATTTAGTCGTGTTTTCCTTCACAAACAGTCAACTACGTATTGAGGACATATAAGTATTAACAGCTCAAGAGAAGTGAGGGATGAGGCGAGAGAAGAGGAGTAAACCCAACGGTGGAGGAAGAGGGGAGAGAGAGAAATGTGGGAGAGGAGATAAGGAAGAAGTCCTGACAACAACATTACAAGATTACAAAAACACGGCTCAATATTGGAGACTCAGATAAAGGAAATTAACTTATTTTTTTCTTCACATAATTGTTTAAATATCAATTACTCCAAAGCACTTTTTAAGTAGAGAGAAGAGAGAGAAGTAAGCAACGTATGTTAATTTAAAGATGCTTTTTCTCCATGGAGGTGTTATGGCGTTATCTAGAATGTTTCACAGTTGGGCATTAAACCTTTCTGTCGTCCTGGAGGTCAGATCTGTGGAGAGGCGACCCCGCTCATAATGCAGCTTTAATTGAGTCTTATATAAAATGACTGAAATCAAGTATTGACCAGGACCAGGACTGAGATCAGGACCAGACCAGAACTGAGACTGGGACTGAGACCAGGACTGAGACCGGGATCAGACCAGAACTCAGACCAGAACTGAGACTGGGACCAGGACTAGGACTGAGACTGGGACTGAGACCAGGACTGAGACCGGGACCAGGACTAGGACTGAGACAAGGTCTGAGACCAAGGACTGAGACCGGGACCAGACCGGGACCAAGACCAGGACCGAGACCAGGATTGAGACAAGGTCTGAGACCAAGGACTGAGACTGGGATCAGACTGGAACCAAACCAGGACCAGACCAGGACTGAGACCAGTGACTGAGACCAGGGACTGAGACCAGGGACTGAGACCAGGGACTGAGACCGGACCCAGAAGAGAACTGAGACCAGGACTGAGACCGGGACCTGACCGGGACCAGACCAGGACTATGACTGGGACCAGACCAGGACCAGCCCATGACTGAGACCAGAACTAAAACCAGGGACTGAGATGGGTCTGAGACCAGGACTGAGACCAGAACTGAAACCAGGACTGAGACTGGGACCAAGACCAGGATCAAGACTAAGAGTGAGACCAGAACTGAGACCAGAACTGAAACCAGGACTGAGACCAGGGACTGAGACCGGGACCAGACCGGGATTGAGACCAGGGACTGAGACCAGGACCAGACCAGGACTGAGCCCAGCTTTAATTCAGTCTCATACAAAATCACTGACAGTTGTTTTTGTGAATTTGCAGTTTTTTTCCATCAAAAAATGTACATGAAGCACCAAAGACACAAAAACCCCGAGAAACGAAGGATGAGAGGAGAGAGCCGGATAGACGAGAGGAGCGGAGGTGTCAGAGGAGGAGAAGGAGAGAGAGGGGGAGAGAGGGAGAAAGAGGGAGAGAGGGTGTGTGAGAGGAGATAGGAAAGAAGTCCTGACAACAACATGGATTATTTTCCTCAGAGCGGAGACGTTCTCTGGAGCCGGGACTTTGTGAAGCGGCCGATTAGTGATTAGCGCTGATGCAGGACTTGTGCTCCAGAGTCACTCACCGTGCACGACGCTGGCGAAGGGCGGCTCTCTGTCTGCTGCTGAGAAGAGCGAGAGAAAAGCAAACGATGAATAATGCATGGACACACGGACTATAATATTCCCTGTTCAAAGGCGACGGATCTCCTTGCAAGTTCTGTAGTCGACTTCTGCTATGAAACGCCTTTTTAAACGAAGAATACTTTGAAGAACCAAGCTTTGCATATGGGTTAAATAAATCATAGGACAAACTTGTGAGGTTTCTGGCACAATGCACACTCAGCAACGTCAACACAACAGAACAGAAAACAGAAGGAAATGTGTTTTATAAGAAATAACTTTGGTCTTTCCTTGCTAGTGGAGGAAGAACTCAAGTACTAGTTAAAAAAAAAGAAAACGTGGGAAAAAATATTCAGTATAATAAGAATAATACATAAACTCAGCGTACAAAAATATTTTAATTCATTTTTGTCTTAAATGTAAATTGTGCATCGAAATCAGGTTTATTCCAGGCTTTTCCATGGACTAAAGCAGGTCTAAAGCAGGTCTAAACCAGGTCTAAACCAGGTCTAAACCAGGTCTAAACCAGGACTGAACCAGGACGCAACAAAATCTAAACCAGGACTATAACAGAACTAAATCAGAAACCCAGACTACAGTAGACCTAAAAGACAAAACACAGACAAAACCTGGATTAAACCTGGACTAAATCCAAACTAAACCAGTATGTAACAAAATCTAAACCAGGACTATACCAGAACTAAACCAGCGTGAAACCCAGACTACAGTAAACCAAGACTAAATGCAGACAAACCCTGGACTAAACAGGGACTAAATCGGGACTAAACCAGAACTAAAACCAGGACTAAACCAGGTCTAAACCAGGTCTAAACCAGGTCTAATCCAGGATGCAACAAAATCTAAACCAGGGCTATACCAGAACTAAACCAGCTTGAAACCTAGACTACAGTAAACCAAGACTAAATACAAACAAAACCTGGACTAAACAAGGACTAAACTGGGACTAAACCAGGACTAAACCAAGACTAAACCAGGTCTAAACCAGGATGCAACAAGATCTAAACCAGGACTACACCAACCAGCTCAAAACCCAGACAGTAAACCAAAACTAAACACAGACAAATCCTGGACTAAACCAGGACTAAACTAGGACTACAGTAGGACTAAACCAGGACTGGACCAGGAGGACTAAACCAAGACTAAACTAGGAGGTCTAAACCAGGAGGACAAAACCACGAGGACTAAACTGGGACTGAACCGGGAATAAACCAGGGCTAAACCAGGACTGAACCAGGACTTAAACAGGACTTAAACAGGTCTGAACCAGGACTAAACCAGGACGCAATAAGATCTAAACCAGAAATAAATCAGGATTAAACCAGGTCAAGAAAATAGACTGGTTTCTTAATTATTGTTGTTCTTTAGAACTCCAGTAGAACGCACAAACCTCCTCTATTACGTAGTAGTAAATTGTAATTTCTATTCAAACACAGTAAAATGAAAACAAAAAAGATGTAGCCTATTATTTTTCCTTCAGTACTTTCTCCATGATCTTACCATCCACATCCACGTCCACATTGAAGGCGTAGAAGGGGTTGGAGCTGTTTCCTTTGGGGAACACCATGCACACGTAGGCCCCTTCGTCGCTATTCTGGACTTGGGGCAGTTTGGTTATTATTCCAAACCTTGGGACTTTCTCTGTTCTCATAGAAAGGTCCCCCGGTGCGGCCCAAGTGATTTTAGTGACGGCGAGCTCGGGCTGGACGCTGGCGATGAGACGCAGGGTGCTGAGCTGAGGGACCGGGGAGGGAGGGGCCAACGTCACTGAAGAGGAGAGGAGAGGTCGACAAGAAGAAGAGAAAGAAAGAAGAAAGAAGTCAGTATAGGGCATGTTGTTATTGGACTTAAAAGGCTTTGTTCCAGCTGCTGTCGTACTTATGATTGAACTGTAATCTATTTATGTATCAATTTTAGTACGTTGTCTTGGAAAAATGATGTGTTTTTTATATATTTAATATTTATTGTGATTTTAGCCAAGCGTGATGGATGAATTTGATTATTTATGGAACAAAGCCATTCTGCACTGGAGCACTGAAACACTTTATTTTGTTTTTATACGTGTTTATTGTTCATAATGTGGATGAATGAAATGTGAAATGTGGGACCTGCCTCTCAAATCTGCAAAACAAATTAACCTATGGGTACGTATAATGCGATTTAACCTAATCTAACCTAATATTTTGAGAGACTATTGTTAGGATAAATTTGCCAAACTGGAGCCTCCTAGTGCCTCCACTCAATTTCATTTCTCTCCAGCGACTAGGTCAGGAATCAGAATACACTAGACAGTTCACAAAAACCCCAGAAGTGCGAGTTCAGGCACCAGCCAATCAGCGAAGAGCCATACATTCTGTGTTGGCAACGATTCCCGAGATCGAGGATTTAAAGCCGGAACAAAGAGAATGTCTGGTGAATTTTATCAAGGGGAAAGACGTTATTGTAATTCTTCCTACTGGATTTGGGAAAAGCTTAATATAGTTAGCCCCGTTCGTTAGTAGCGCATTACATACGTCACGACCAAATAGAAGCGACTGGTTAAATTAAAAAAGTACCCGCCTACCGTCAAGCGAACGAATCCTAATGCTGCGAGGTCAGACGGTTTCTACAAAGTGAAGAATCGGGATAAGGATAAATAAGTATACTTGGCCATTTTTGTAGAACCACTGCTATAGTTCATTATTGTACCAAGGTCATGTGAAGATAAGGGCTATAATCTCAGCTGAGGGACTCATATTTGTCAAGATAAATGCATGAGATTCCAATTTATCTAACAGCAAACTCAATAAAGAGGACAAGAGCAACTGATAGGTAAGATGTTATGATCCGGACCCAGACAGCCCCCGAATGGAGTCTGATTGGACTGTGCAACGTGCCAAGAGTCCTGTGCACCAACGAAGTCTAAACCATGGTCACTTCCTACTATAGTTTGCATATAAACCTCACTGTAGGTGTAAATATTGAGTCTCTGCATGGGAATGTCAACACAGACTCTTTGCACAAGTATTCCTTTCTAATATTTGATTGAGTAAATTATTTGGACTTTATTTGGGTTTAAAGTGTATTCTTTATCTAAGCAGAAACACCAGAGGAAAAGGCTGTTTTCCTCAACACTATCTGTGTCACCAGATGAGTAAACGTCACACTCTCTAAGCTCACTTCCTTATATAGTCTATGATTTAAACCTACAAATGTCTCTGGGCCCTGTCAAGCAGAAGTAAACAGCAAGGCCAAAAATTCAAGTTAATGCATCTGATATAAAAATGTATTGAACAGATACATATGTACTCTAGTTTATGAAGCTGTTTACCTTTTTTCTGTACCATTTTTGGTTCTAAAGTTATATACGTTTTAAACAGACCATGTATGAAACATGGAACAAAAATTATTTCCCAAATTTCAAAGACCCAAAAATCATGTAAATAAACTGATGTATTTCATCATATCTTGTGTTATTCCGTCTTTGAACTGTTGATGAAGGTACATGATTTTTTTAAAAAAAAATTATTTGAAATGATAAAAATTTGCTTGGAAGGACTGATATATTTTATAGAAATAGTTTCCTTTCATTTTGAAGTAATATTAAAGTATTCGGAAGAAAAAAGCTGACAAATTATGTAAAATCCTGCACCTTCTACTTGCTGCACAATTTTCCCTCCGTTACTTTTCCCTCCATTACCATGACCTTTCTTCATAAAAAAATCTCATTACTCAAAAAGTAAGAGGTTTTTCAACCTAATCTTGTACCATATGGTAGAAAACTATATGAAGAAAATATTCAAACCAGTTTGTTAAGGATATGTAAGTGAGAACCAAGAGTTATCACTGTTTGTATTTATTGCCCAAAAAGTTCTGCATATTTCATTCCCTCCGTTACAGACATGAATATTTAAATTTTTTGTCAACAACTTGAGAGAATATCGCAGGTTTAACTTTACCCTGTTGGAGTGTTAACTCTTTCCTACATTCTGATACTTTACTTATATCAGTAGTCCCTCTGGTTTCTGAATAAGAGCTATTTGAATGTAAAAAAAATCTGCTCCTGTTTCCCTCCATTACCACTTGACCGGACCCATCTGTCTGATCTGAATGGTCACTACCTAAAACTACAGTTAATCATGACTCTAGTGCTAGTGCAGCCTCTGCAGCTCAGAGATGAGGAATGATCTGTCCACATATTAGAAAAAAAAAATACTTCTATGTATCCTCTATCTGCAGATTAAGACACTGGAAAGGTTCAGTCGTGATCGTTGTAAATCTTTTTGTATATCAGTTAAAGGTCTTATGTTACGCAAAATAGTCTCTTGTGAGCTTTTAGCCATTATAATGCTATTACCTCATCAAAAACACACCCAGAGTTGTGTTTTGTTTCATTTACACATGTTTATGTATGAGGGCGGCAGGAGCTCAGTTGGTAGAGCGTTCATCCACTGATCTGAAGGTTGGTGGTTCGAATATATATATGCATTATGAAATTTTGTATATCTGTTAAAGGGGTGGAGCTGTGAAACAACTGTGGAACAGCTGTACAGAAAACCTAAAATTGTGCACCAGTCTCTTTCACTTTATAAAGAAGTTTAAATGTTTGACTCTGGACAGATACATGAAATATGATACTTAGTTTGTGCTGTAGGACTTTGTTGTTCAGTTTCTGATTTGTTTGTTTCCTCTTGCTGTATTTATGAAGATGAACTGGTGTTAAGATGACGCTCTGACAAAGGAACAAAGGGTAGGCATAATAAGCTTCAGCCTACACCTTTTCGGTCTGTGTATGTTAAATATGAAAGTCTGTGAATTAATGTCAAAATGTACCTGTGACCAAAATAAATAATCAAATAAAAATATGCTCGATATAAACGGCATGGGTTGAGCAGGTCAGACCCACTGACCCACAGGTTGACTGGTGTGATTCCAGCTCCCACAGATGAATGCTGTCGTTGTGTCCTTGGGCAAGACACTTCACCCACTTTGCCCCCAGTGTGTGCATACCCTGATGTTTGAATGTGTGTGTGAATGGGTGAGTGGTTCCTTGTAAACGAGCTTTGAATGGCTTGAAGGTAGAAAAGCGCTATAGAAAATGTGACCAGGTAACCCTTTATTATTAGTTTGTCTACATCTCCAAAGCTTGGAATTGTCACGTGGAAACAGAGGGAGGACCCAAAACGCAGGACTGCTTCAAAAATATTTAATGACAAATCAAAAAATCCAAAACTCAAGACTAAATTGCCATGACAAGAGACACAGAGACACTCGGACAGAGACAATGGACCAACAAAGGGCAGAGGAGAACACAGGGTATAAATGCACACACATAGACACAGGTGAAACACATTAGGGCGGGACAAACAATCAAGACAGGAAGTAAAACTCAAAAATACAAGGTGACAGGACAAATGTCAAAATAAAACACAAACTACAACCACTACAAAACATGAACCATGACAGGAATGCTCTGTTTCACCTTCTGATGTCATGCAGTGGTATCTTTCAAGTTAACAGCTACATTTTATCTTTAATTCAATAGAGATGGGCTGAAATGATCCACATGAGTATAGTGAAGGTGTGTGAAGTTTAAAAACACAGTGGAGCACTTCCTGTATTACCACATGACATCACAAGGTGGAAGAGAGAGTTTTGTGAGAAGGACTTTACCTAAATATGCAGATTTTTGTGTTAAATGTGTGAATGAAACAAAACACAACTCCAGGTCTGTTTTTAATGAGGAAACAACATTATTACATAGATCAGAAAATCCTAATCTAAATCCACTTTATTTCTACAGCACATTTTACAAACAAAGCAGTTTCCAAAGTGCTGCACAGAGATCATAAAAAGAAGACAACAAAAAGGTAAATTGCTAAAATGTGGTCATACTAGTCCTAAAATAATAAAACCAGTAAAAGCAAATAAAAGCAAAAAACATAAAATCATAAAATAGCATGAGTAAATAAGTAAAATAGATAGAATAAATTAAAGAGACAGAGGACCACACAACTCACACGGTGTTAAAAGCCAGAGAATAAAAGTGGGTTTTAAGACGAGACTTTAAACACTCCACTGTGGGGGCTGTTCGGACGTGGCGTAACAGTCCATAATATGGGCCCTTTAAATGCTATAGGGGACATCTAAGGCACTAAGTCCATAATGTGAGTTGAAGTGGCAATGTTAGTAGTTTTACCTTGGAGGACGATCAGCAGAATGACTCGCTCTTTCAGAACCTTTAGTCTGCGTTTGACCAGACACATGTACAGCCCCCCGTCCTCCATCTGCGGCCGGAGACCCAGAGAAAAACCCCAGAGTCCTGAAGAACAAAGCGACAATATTTAAAGGTGAGGTAACAGTTTGTGAAAGTAAATTAGTCAAATGTCATTGTCTTTATTCCCACTGTAAAACCAGCACTTTGTGACAAAATCAGACCGCTGTGAGCCGTCTGCGTCTATTTATTATGCATCTTAACAATCACGAATTTGGAAGAAAAAAAAAAAAAGTTAATCTCCATATGAAAAAGGCTGTTCTAAAGCTGTGTACTGGAACAAGAAACAGAGACATGAAGCATTACGAGGACAATGCCATAACACCACAAATGAGGCTTACGTATTTGATCTTGACTGTTGTACTTGGGATTATTGTCACTTGTTTGCACGTCCTTTTAATTGCTCTTCTCTGGCAGTCTGTGTGTGTTGTTTTGTATGTGTGTACTGTATTTTTCAGATTATAAGTCATACTTTTTTTCATGGTTTGGGTGTTTCCTGTGACTTATACTCTGACTTATAGCCGAGAGAGGCTCTAGTCTTGTGTGCCAGTATCTGCTGCTCCTGTTACTCCTGTACCACTGTCACTTCGCTCTACTGCGCATGTCTCCTGCAGAAAGAGCCTCTGTCCTGCTGCAAATAGTGAAATATTCAGTTGAAAATGGTAATCGAGCAGCAGAAAGAAAGTTTCGAGTGAGCGAGAAACTTATAAGGGACTGGCAGAAAGGGGGGACGAGAGCACAGCTTCCAGGTGAGCAGGAGGGTGCGACGTGCAATTCTCCTGGAAGTCATTGGATGGATGGACAAAGCCTGGACTTCAGTGACACAGAAACCATCCTGTCGGGATTCAGAAAGGCCGAAATAATTCTAACTGGAACTGATGCTGAGTCTGACGACAGCTACACAGAAGAAGAAGTGGTGCTTTATTTACCTCCAGAGTTCGTGGAGTTGCTCAGAAGTGACACCGAGGATGAAGAATTCAATGGATTTAGTGATTTGGAGTGAGATGGAGAGTTTAGTAAACTTGTTCTGTTCTGTTGTTTATGTTATAGATTATCTGAAGAACTGTTCATATGTGACGTTAACAGTCTGTTGTTCTCTGTTCTATTGTTATTACTGTAGCTTGCCTTTCAAGATGAAATGTTGGTTCCTGGTCTCTGATTTTATAAAATAAATTTCCCCCAAAAAGTGTGACTTATAGTCCGGTGCAACTTATATATGTTTTTTCTTTCTTCTTACACGTTTTTTGGCTGGTGAGACTTATACTCCAGAGCGACTTATAGTCTGAAAAATACAGTATGTTTAAAAAAGAAAGAAAAAAAATTATAATAGAGATAATATTAGAAAAAGCAGTGTGTATTTGGTCCAGCATTTTTGCATCTGAATTCTAACTATGAGCCAAAGTTTGCGAGAGGTAAAGAGAGGTTAGAGGTAAAAAGAGGTTAGACACACCTTCTTCCTCTTTTCAGCGTTTTAAAAATAGTTTTGCAGTTTTAATTTTCCAAAAGAGACACATACCAAGCTGCTTTTTGCACAAGAATATTTTCAGAGGCCAGTTTTTACTTAAGGCCAATATCAATACAAAGTCATTAATCCTCCTTAATCAAAGTTTCTCCACTTAAGTTTGAGTAATAATACCAGAAGTGTACACAAAACAAAAATCCAATGTTTTCTTTTTAGCTATCTGCCTTTGAAAACAGAAATTAGAAAATGGGGACAATTAGGATATCGAGTGCGTCAGCCAAAAATCTGCAAGAAAAACAAACAGACAGTGTCTCTATTTAAAAAAGTAACAGCATAATATGTCGCCGCTTTGACAGGTAATTTTACAGACGAGAGGTTAACCTAAGCCAAGATATTTAAGAAAATCATTTGTAGGATCGTTAAAGGTGCACTGTGTGACTTTTCTACCTGCTTGTCTCCAAGGAAATGTTGTTGCTTTGTCTAGAATGTTCCACAGTATAAATTAAATCTACTGTATCACAAGAGAGGCTACTCGGGACAGATACAGCTCAGATCTATGGAGAGACAGCTCTATTCATGAGAGAATTATTGTATTATTTCACTTGTAATGAATAAAAGCTTGATACCGTGAAAAATTCCAGGCAGAGTGATAACATCTCCATGAAAACATCAGAGAAGTTGTGTAATGCATCTTTAAAATAAAACTATAGGGTTGTCACGATATTTGGGTCTCATTTCAGAGTTAGCCAGAGTGTTGGAGATGTGTGGAGACACTTTTTAAAATATTCCATTCAGTTTTTGTATTTGTACAGACTGTCGATGTGAATGTCTGTGTCAATAGAGTAATTTTAGAAGTAAAACCAACCTTGCATTATTCCAGACAGAATGCTTGGCAGCGGCGAACTGAGGCCCAGTTTACGCATACACGGGTATTTTTAAAAACTGAGACATTTCCCTTCGTTTGTACCCATCTTTTACACGCAAATGGCAAATTCACCTGTGAAAATGAATCTTTCTAAAAACTCCGGCTAGAGTGGAGATTCTGTAAAACTATGGGTTCGCATTTGCGTGTAAAGTGAGATGAACAGAGTTTTAGGGGCTGACGTACCGAAAGTGCCACTGATGTTTCCCTTTTGCTCTGATGATGATGATGAAGCATCAGAGCAGCAGTCGCTGGTGCAAACACTTTTCACGTGCTTCATTTGCACACACAGCTGATGTATCATATCCATGACCAGAAACGGATGAACTCAGAGGTCAGTGATTTTGCCACTTCTTACTCCCACTCAGTATTGCACGCATTGCGTTTGTTTCTCTACATATATATCACCTAGCACCTATCTCACTGGAAAAGTAAAATTCCACTGCTGCTGAGAAAATAGTCCCTCAACATGCCACATTCATGCGATGGTTAGTTTTATTTCAAACATTATTCTATCGAAACAGACATTTACATCGACAGTCTGGTGTAATAATAGATTTGTTTCGGGTGTTTTGTGGAGTGGGTAAGACTGTTTTTAGTGACAGGATAACTATGACCATTGACATGCACTAGTCTAGCACCAGCGACCTCTGCAAATACAAGGACTGTGATTCTTGCATTAGTTGGTCATTTTGTATTTGTAGTGTTTCTGTCAATTCTTCTAGATGTGTTTAAAATGTGAACTTTAAACAGAATCCAGTCATTAAAACAAAAATTGACAAAACTGACAAAATTGTTCAGCCCTAGTTTTTTTTTAAATGTATTTTTTAGGAACGTAACGATATCCAGAGCTCACGGTACGATATTATCACTATAATGCATCTCGATATTTATTGAGACATTTTGGAGAAGCTATTGTAGATAGGATACTTATTATACTTATCAGTACTGTCATAATTTAAATTAAAGTTTCTTCATGTTGTCTGCACTGAAATGAATCATGGGATATGTAGTTCAGAGTCCTGCACAGGTCCATTTTTTGGAGACCCGCACCTGCCTGCACTCGCGCAGTACAGCACCGCATCCGCCCGTTAACCTGTGATTATATCAAAGTTAAACCTGCACCCGCCCAGGTTAATCAGAATACAAATTGAAACGTTATGACTTTAAGAATTACAATCACGAAATGAAATGAAACAGTTTCGCTTTCTTCAGTACGAATACAAATTCACAGACACGAATCGACTGTCATCACTTCACAGGCTTTATTTATTGAGCAGAAGAAACACGCCACAAACTGAACCAGGACTAACCCAGGACTAAACCAGGACTAACCCAGGATTGAACCAAGAGGACTAAATTAGGAGGACTAAACCAGAACTAAACCAGAACTGAACCTGGACTCACTGGCGGGATGGGCTCAGAGGTGCACCCGTGTAGACTGTCAAGTGACCACGGGCTAAAGGACTGGCTCAGAGCTGCAAGCCTCACAGAGATAAGTGCAGCCGTCACCCGATCGCGCTTTGCGGACATCCTGGTCCACGGGCTCGGGATTCTCTCTCTCTTAATTCCAAGATTAGTCCTGGTTTAGACCTGGTTTAATCCTGGTTTAGTCCTGGTTTAGACCTGGTTTAATCCTGGTTTAGTCCTGGTTTAGACCTGGTTTAATCCTGGTGTAGTCCTGACCTGCACGTTTGTAATCACTACCTGCCCGCAAACCCGCCCGTAAAATTCCGAAACGTTAAAACCTGCCCGTTTCAGCGTGTAGGACTCTGATGTAGTTCCCTATGTTTCTTAGCTGTTACTACTATAAAACAATGCATTTAAGCAAATTAACTTCTGATTTGATATACTGTGACAGCCCACGATATTATTGTGAGACCCTTTACGATACGATATCATGATTGGTTATATTGTTACATCCCTAGTATTTTTGTTTTCAGAGTTATACAGAAAGACAATCCTATAACTCTGGATTCATTTAAATCCATCGCTTCCCTGTGTTTACCTGGAAGTTGTGGTCGGTCAGGTGCATATGTTCCTTGGAGGCTCTGCCAGAGAATTCCTTCCTTTCGCTGGCGGTGAGCACGAGCTTCCATTGATCTGTCCCCAGAGTCTTCACCATCCAGTTCACAGACACTGCTCCTGTGGCGTTCTCGTCAATACAGACTAATGTGACCAAGGTGCCCTCCTGCGCCACCACTGCATCACTCCACTCTGAGGAGCAAACAAACACACACACTATTTATCCACTGTGTCTTAAACAGGAAAGAATCACAGGAGCAATGGATTCTGGGTAGTGACAGGTTTTAGAGGTGTCTTTAGGGAGGGAAAAGCCGCTGTTCTGTGATGTGTGTTTGAACTCGTCCTGTAGAGCGTCCTTGGGAGCTTTTAAATCAAATGTAGAATTATTATTATGCATTATTAAAAAGAGAAGGCGGGTTCCTGTAAAAAAAAAAAAAATGATATTGCACATTTATCAGTCCGTTAATATGGTTAGAAAAGCTTAGGTATGCACCAGTCCAGGTTTTTCAGTTCAGACACCGATATCATACAGATATTTTTTCTCTTAAAATACAGTTCTTTTTATTTAAAACAAGGACAGTACACAGGAAACATTAAACTCAGAGAGAAAAGGTGCTCTGTGCCAAATTTAGCTACAAGCTCCTTTCCATCTGCAGTACTTGGGCAGGTACGAAATACATGAAGGAAATTATTTACATTCTAGCAACAACATTTCATCATTTCATCAGCAGTGTCTCCTTAAAATAACCAATTCATCATTAAACATTTAAAACAATCAAAATTAATTAATTCTAATTTCCTTAAATATAAGATTCAAATACATTTTTAGCTTCCAAAAATACTCAAATTCATTGTCATCAATATCTAAAATGTACATTTATCAAATTCCTCAGTATTATTTTCCTCTAAAATACAATTCATCAAGAACATTATCATCAAAACAAATGTCTTAAGTCAAAAACAACACATTTACATCAACATCTATAGTACAAGCAGTCAGGAAGTTTAAATGTCTGAAGAAGACTGATGTTGACACACACTGCTGCTCAGAAGTCATTGTTTTAGCCCATGTTTCCTGCAAGTTACTCAACAACTTTGTGTGAGTTAAAGTTCAAACATCATGAGACGTCATGGGTCTTTATTAGTCACTAAAGAGTCCAACCAGGATATTGGCTGAACCAGTATCACGGAACCAATACCCGATATTACATTTGATACCAGTATCACATCGGTGCCTCCCTAAAAAATGGCTCAGTGGTTCAATTTCATCTTTGTTATGTTCCTGGGCAAGACATTATGACCCATTATAATTTTTCACACAGAGTATTGTATCACCTCCTGTGCTGCCGGCACAAAACTCAAATCCATAGACTCTAAAAAGGTGATACAAATGTAGGGCAAAAAACACCCACTCATTCCACCAATGTATTGTGGATAAGTAGTTTAGTCATCATTTTGTTCATTTAAAAAACACATTTTATATTCAAGATTTTGTACAAACTCCTTCTTCTCGAAAGACTTGAAGTCCTTCAGTCGAGTGGGAGGGCATCAGGACCATGGCTCGAGGGGACTACACAGGCTCCACATTTAGTTAGACGGTGCTGTCAGTCAAAGGGACTCATTATTGGAACAATCGTCCTCTGACAATAAGACAAAGTCCATCACTGTCCACTTTCAGACTGCACATTAAACAGTGGATGAAGGAAAACCAAGAGTGTGAACACTTTGAATCTGGACTTTTATTGTTCTGTGTCATTTCTCTTTGTAACTGTTTGTATTTTGTACTGTTTTCTGTGTCACATACAGAACGACTTACCACCACACCGAGTGGAACGAAAGAATAATGACACCAGTGCAATGATATGAGAGGCAAGTCAAGTGTGTAAAGAATTTAATTATATAGTATTTATAATAAGTCATTTTACCTGCTCTTTATTCTTGTCCACATGCTGCACTGTAGAAATATACACTCATTTTCTTTTGTACATAATAGTTTTTTACTCTTGTGGTTTTATGCCTTTTTGTATTTTAACATAATAGTTGAACTGTCAAATCTAGATCTGTTTATCATAATTATACATCTCTATTTTTGATTGCATATTTCTTATTCTCCTGCTGTTCTTGTACTCTGCTTTGCAACACTGGAATTTCACCATTAAAATAAAGACTTGTGAAGACTCATCCATTAATTAGTCCATTATTTTACATTTAAAACTATACAATTCAATATTATAACCAGTGTTGGGGAGTAACAGATTACATGTACTGGAGTTACGTAATCAGAGTACAAATTATGAGTAACTGTATTCAGTTACAGTTACTTTTTTAATGAGAGGTAATTGGATTACAGTTACTTTGTTGAAATAAGTGGATTACACAGCGGTATTTTCCTGTTTTCACAATTCGGGCTATATCCCCCCCTTTTTTTTTTTTTTTTTAAACCAGGTCTAAACCAGGTCTAAACCAAGACTAAACCAGGTCTAAACCAAGACTAAACCAGGTCTAAACCAGTTTTAAACCAGGTCTAAACCAGTTCTAAACCAGGTCTAAACCAGGACTAAAATCAGGTCTAAACTGGGACTAAACCAGCACTAAACCAGGACTAAAACAGGACTAAAACCAGGTCTAAACCAGGTCTAAAACCAGGTCTAAAACAGGACTTAACTGGACTAAATCATGCTGCATGGACCGTCTTTCCTCCTCTTCTATCAATAATATTTTTAATTTGGTTAAGTAAAGACTCATCTTTTTTATTTGTTATTGTTGTTATTTGTATTGTTTGTTTTATTTGTTATTTGTTTTTTAGCAGACAAAACATCTTATGTGAAGATTTCCTCATCTTTCCTTCCCTACAGCAAATCAAGTAATCCAAAGTATTCAGATTACGTTACTCACTTTAAGTAATTTAATGGATTCCGTTACAAACTACATTTTTAGGGTATGTAATCTGTAATCTGTAGGGAAATACATTTTAAAAGTAACCTTCCCAACACTGATTATAACCTAAGTCAAAGATCAATGAAAGAAAATACTAATCTTACACCAATTTTTATTTATTTTTTCTGTTTTTTGTTTTTATATTTTTGTCTTGTGATTTTAAATGTTTGTATTTCTGTACCACACTTTGGCCGACTGATTTTCTTTTAAATATATAAACAAATTTGACATCAACATCCATAAATGCACCAATTTATGCCCAAATTCCTCAAAATAAGATAAACATTCGGCCATATTTCTGTTTACATGCATACAAACTTTTCAATTGCGAAAATAACATAGACCTGTACCTACCCATCATCTCTGCGGACAGACAGGTGACTGGATAAACCACAGAGGACGACGACAGCAGCATAAAGAGAAGAGACGCCATGATACTTTTTCAACCTTAACTCTACGGACTGCGCCAGCTGTCTCTCAAACGCAGTGACCTTTCTGCGTGCAGCCCCAGAACAGTGAGTATTTTTCACTTCTGTACAACACTAGTGGCTCGCCGTCGCTACAGGAAGCGAGAGGAACGCTATTGGAATAATCAGCAGGAAGAGGGTGTCATTTTGGGGCAAGATGTGCAGGAGCAAGTCAGACTGATAAACTACACATGGAGAAATGAGAAAAGAAAAAAAAGAAAAAAAGGAAAAAAAGCCTTGTATTGAGATAGGGAGGAGTGGAGTTACGGGAATACATTTTACTTTAAAGGCGCACTTGGTAAATTTGAGCTTGTTTCTATGGAGATGTCATTGCTCGATCTGGAATGTTCCACAGTATGACATTAAACACATCACATTTATAAAATTACATGTGTTTATAGCTCAAAAATAAGATGAAAACATATATTCTGACTGTGAGCGGGGTTGCCTCTCCACAAATCTAAGCTGTAACTTCGTCTACCTTCGTCTCTGTGATGATAGAAAGGTTTAATGCCATACTGTGAAACATTCCAGATTTAGCAATAACATTTAACAAAGCATTTGACGAACCATTCCACCAGAAAAGTTACACAATGCACCTTTAACGGTGTCCTATTAGGGATGGAATGAGACACAAGAATAAGACTGAATTTATTTTTATTTATTTCATTTAAAGGTTGTATGGAGGATTTTTTTTGTTTGTTTCAAATTGTCAATGAAATTTAAAAATACCATTACAGAGATGCAGCAGCCTTGTAATTATGATGACCAAAAAAAAAAAAAAAAAACGAATGACAACTGTGGAAGTGGTGAGGCCAGATAAACATCAGCCAATAGATAACAAGGCTACCTCATTTTCTATTGGCTGTTAGGTTGTCAATCAAACTCCCTACATTTCTAGTGTAACTGACTTGCCAGCGCGCGGGGATTATGCGCTTTATGCAGTGGTTCTTAGAGGCTTTTTCAAACTGTAGCTTCCTCGCAGTTCAGAATCAGTTGGTTGAGACGGCGGACGAGAATCCACGACCAGTTCGCCGCAAAAGAAAGTCCGTTTTTGAGGTTGCTGAAAGAAGAAGAGAAGGGGAAAAGAAGCAAAGACAAACTTGGGTGATTCTTGGTGATCTCTTCTGTCGCTGTATTGCTCTTCCCTTAAAAAATCCTCTATACAACCTTTAAGTATTTCATATTTGCACCAAAGTACATCTGTGACATGTTAGTACTATATGAACCATCTCTGAGGACTTCAGGGACCCGCCTCCTGCTGGTGTCCAGAGTCAGGACTAAACACGGGTAGTCAGAGTTTCAGATTCACGGAGCTAAAACCTGAAACAATCTTCCTGACAATGTGAGACAGACTCTACTTTGACTCTGTTTAAATCTAGGCTCAAAACGGTTCTGTTTAACTGCGCATATGAAAGGTTTTCATTCTGCACTCTTCTCTCTGATTTGTGTAATTAATGTCTCTCTCTTTTTTCATTTTAATCTTTAATTTTATGATGATTATTTATGTTTTGATTTGTTTTATTGTGATTTTAATGGTTTTCTTACTCTGTAAAGCACTTTGAATTACTTTGTGTACGAATTGTGCTATGCAAATAAAGTTGCCTTGCCTATTTTTGTTGCCGCTCTCAATTTACCTGTCAGTCTACATTCCTCCCCTCACCTATGGTCATGAGCTTTGGGTAATGACCGAAAGGAGGAGATCGAGGATACAAGTAGTCGAAATGAGTTTTCTCCACAGGGTGGCTGGGCGCTCCCTTAGAGATAGGGTGAGGAGCTCGGTCACACGGGAGGAGCTCGGAGTAGAGTCGCTGCTCCTCCACGCCGAGAGGAGCAGCTGAGGCTCGGGCGTCTATTCCTCATGTCTCCTAACCTCGCTCGGGAGGTGTTCCGGGCACGTCTCACCGGGAGGAGGCTCCAAGGAAGACACAGGACACGCTTGAGGGAGCTGGAGAAAGTGTCTGGGGTGAAGGACGTCTGGGAGTCCCTGCTGAGACTGCTGCTCCCACAACCCTGGATAAGCTTAAGAAAATGGATGGATAGAAGGATTTTTGTTGCCATGAGTACTTTTCGGAAGTATAAGAGATGCAACTCGCCAGCATGTGAGAAATATTCTGTATTGATCATGCTGATTCACCCAATATTTGTACCTTGGAATGACAACAGGAGAAAAACATGCTGTCTATGGTTCTATAAAAAGACATGTTATTCTGTACTTTGAGATGCTACGAAGCAGAAAACTGACGTATGTGGACCCCGTGGCATGTACCCACCCATGATAAAGTGTTCCGGGTCAGCATTATTGTTAATTTTCTTGCTGTATATGCTAAATCAACAAGTTAGTGTTTTGTCAGATGGGGGTATAAAGCTAACCCTCGTTCTGAGTTTGGCAGAGGACGTCGTTCCGGGGTGACAGTTGTACTTGGTAATCAACTTGAATCTCTGTGAACTGCAAATGCTAAACTAAAGTGACCTGTACTCGGATCCTTCCATCTCTTGTGCTTTTTTCCTAGGACACGCACTGAATTCTTCCGAAAAGCCCACAAACAGCTTATTACAATATTTTCAGATCTATGTTAATTTCCTTTTTTGATACTCTCATGTTGTTTCCTCATCACAAACATCCCTGTAAATGTAACTTTTCTGTTGAAGTGTCTGCTGGTCTCCATGGAGTTGTTATTGCTTTGCTTGGAATGTTCCCCAGTATAGACCATCCACCAGTAAAGGTACATAGTGCACCTTTAAAGACTGTTTTAGCAGCACATTTGTCTGAATCAGAACTTTGGCAGAACTTTTTTTTACACCAAATTTAACTGCTTCTACCAATAGTATCTCATTACATTGTGATACAGACCTAAACTGAATGTTCCAAACCTTATTAGAGGTCCCGGAGGCCTGTCACAGCTGAGTAAAATGCATGAATGTGAATGAGTCACTGTACTGACACTGGTCTGTGGCCCTCTGCATGGAATGTTTTAATATGTGACCCTGTGTGAAAAGGTTTGGACAGCCCTGCTCTGCTTTAAACCAGCCTGAGTAACATTTACAGAAGTAATAATAAAGTTATTTATGAGTCAGTTTGAATTTATTGTACCTTTATGTATGCAGGAGGAGCTCATTTAGATCAAAATGTGATCTTAACTGTGCTGGCATTTCATTGTTTTATTGCATCTACCAACACTAAAACACAAACTTTTATGACTTAATGTATTTGAACACATGTTTTTAAAGATAAATTACGCCTCTGCTTTTCCATAGAGACGTTACTGCCACTGTAAATATATTTATTCAGTTGTTTTTATTACTCAAATATACATTGAAAACCTGAGCTGCTTCTCTCCACAGCTCTGACTCACTTGGCCTACAGGGTGTCCTCTTGCTTCATAAATTTAACACATTCCAGGCGAAGCAATGACACCATAGCAGGGTTGTCAAAAGTATCACAAATCTCATACTAAAGCAATTTTTTTGGTGAGGTCGTTCACATTTTCAGTTAAATGCGACTTGTATGTGATCTCCAGTGTGAAATTTAAACGCCCCAAAAGTGTCCTGCATGTGCATCGGAGGACACAACGACCTCACACGCAGCGAGCATGCTTAGTGTTTACGGAAGTCGCCTAAACATGGATGCCAGCATACGCGAAAACACAATGATGTCATGTCAGCCATTTTGTTAGGCAAAAAGCGTCCGTATCAACAAGTCAAGATCAACAGTCAACATCAACAATCGTCATACAACTGTACAACATCAACATCGTCAATAGTTATTGGCATGTTTTAACTTCAAAGTAACGTTTTTGATCATCAACATTCAGTGACTTAGAGTAAGATGATGGAGACGTGTCAAAACAATTAAATGCAAAAAATACTTCAAAATAAGAGGAGTTATCTCATGACAGACATACGCAACGCAACTGTCAACACAAACGAGCAGCCCAACTGACTTTTAGTCCAAACAAAAACAATGTTTTCTCGTATTGAGCACCTGGGGATTTTAAAGTTGCTGTTGTACCATTTTTGGCCATGGAGTTTTGTGGGGCAGTGGCAGCAGCGGCCTGAATACAGCGATCCCCTAAAATATTAATGAACTCGCTAACCTTGCTTTACAATAAATACATCTATCTATCTATAAGTGAGGTCAGCCAGTGAGTTCATCCCACTCTACCATAAAGAATTACCAAAATGCCAAAAAAAAAACATGCATTTTAAGTAAATATTAAATCAAACAAGATAAGAATAATTATCTCAGTAATGAAAAAATTACAAAACCGGGTTTAGGCTCCCACAGTGTCATTTTGAGCTTTATCAGTGTTGTAAATGGCCTCGCTAGATGCTGAAGTAGCTATCCAAACAGTTAAACGTAGACCCAGAAGAACTTCACAGAGAGCGGCTGGCTTTGGTGAAATTTACTGGTTCTTTGTCCCGTGAAACTACAACAGCAAACACATACAAAAATAGCCATTAACATATGTGCCAAATAAATTACAAATTACAAAGAGCACCAACAATTAAAGTAACAGTCAATGAATTTAGGCAGTTAGCATAACGGTTAGCATAGCGAAATTAGCATATGAATTGCGGACTAATTTGCATAACAACGTTGCACTAAAAACGTGCTAACTTTTACATTTCTAACACAAAAGGCAATATTAAAGGTGTACAGTCATGTTTCACCATGTAATACTCACAGACGATGCTTGAACAAACACCAAAAAGAATCAACAGAACCAAAGGGCAGCCATTTTGGAGGAGTGAGGCCTGAACAACAACTTCCTGTCTAACATTCTTCTTCTACTATTATTATCACAGGAATAAATTAAAGCGACCACTAGATGATGTAACTTAGCATTCAATAAACATAAAACAGTTAAATACAGTAAACATAACAAGTGTCAATCAAATACCTAAAATGAGTTTGAAATTTTAGTATCGTTACAACACTGTACTCCATGGAGACTTTGCAGCTGATGTCATTAATATTTTCTGGGGTTGTGACGCTAACAGGAGGGACTGCTCTGTCTGAAGCTTTGTTACTCAAAGTTAGACT